ATGTCATGTTTTAGAAAAGTAACAGCAACATTTTATCATGTAGTTGTTGAAGCTAAAGTGCAGATAGATAACTAAGGAATATTTGGAAAGATGGTAAGCTTGAGGAGAACAAAAACATGGCAGGTTAGGAAACACAGACCATGGACAGGAAGCAAACAACAGGACACAGAATATAACGGAACACTAACGAGGAAGAAACAACAACACCTGGGGAGAGACAAGAGGATCAGGTGAAAGTGGGCGGGGCCAGGAGCTGAAMTGACACCAGGAGAACTGATCAAAATCTAAACTAGAGACACCAAAGTCACTGATAACACAAGTACAAAACTCAAAGCACAAGAACCCAGAACATAAATAATAAWAAWAAAAAAACAATCTAAAGGAACTAAATGACTGAAGAACACAGATCTTGACACACTTTTGTTTAAAGTGCAGAATACACCATGTCGTTTAGGAGTTACTGCTTACTAACATTTCAGCACCATAGCTTCAGCATTAGGTTGTACACTAGGTTATGTTTGTAGCAATGAAAACAAGATTTTATTACATTAAACTGACTTGATCATATCTAGAAAAGATGGCTTATCTTACAATTGTTGGCCTAAAAAAGAAACTAACAGCCAATATTTTTTCAACATAATGTTTCAATGAATGGAATGTTGTAAATGAAGCATCAGAAACTCCTTTATTGGAACTGACTGTGACTGTAGGTTGAATTTTTAAATGTTATTTGTACTTGTTTTATTTTGTAAAACATTAATTTTTCGCATGACCAGGCAGACATCACTTTGTTCATATTAGATTAAATGACACAATTCACTTTTCAGTTTCTTCTAAGCTCATTTTCAGCTAAATTATGTGATAAGGATGTGCTGCCCTCCACAATCAGAGGCACATTTCACTGTTCAAACAGCATATTGTTAGAAAATGCAAATACAAATAATGACCAACCACAATTTAAAAGTTTTTGGAGTCGGCACAATTTAAATGAAAACTACGGTGACTTTTGTTACATTACAGACATTTTGAATGATTTAAAAGTTTGTCTCCTCAGCCTCACTCCTATCCATTTCTGCATTTCAACCCCACAGTARATACCAACAGGGGAAATATAAGGCTACTAAGAGTGTAAAAGAAAAATAACTTCTTGTTTTTGGTTGTGAATAGGATTTTTAAAAAGCCTGACATTGCCAGACCCTTTGAAGGAAAAAAAAAAAGTAGACAGAAAGTTTCAAATTTGTCGACAAATCACTGAACAGTTTTTCAATAWCTCTGTTTTGTATTTTCTCCCATCATGATCCTGATTCTTGGGGCCTGAATGTTTTGTAAAGGAAAAACAAGTGCCGTCATTCATCARTCTGCTGATCCACATGAACACCTTTGCACATCAAAAACTCTTCTTCAAACTTTACTTTGGATAAAAATGAACTCATTCAAGTTTTCCCGAATTTACTTCATCAAGTTATGTCAACTGGTTCCAATAAACCAAGTTGTGTAAATGTAAAACACTTGACTAATTTTACCAGGGATGTAACTTGATGAAGTAAATTCAACCTTGTTTAGTGTGAATAATTAACTCCTTTCATAATGAGTTCTGATTTAAATTAGTAGAGTGTAACTAGCAGTGGTGGGCACAGTTCCCCTAAAGCACTAAAGCACTAATAGGGGAACTAATTTCTTGATTAGTGCTTTAGGGTTTTTGCTATTTTTTTTAAATTCATTAGTGGATTAACACTTGTTAAATTTATGGGCTAAATTTAGAAGCACTAACTGAGGTCTTTAAATGTTATTGATCAACATTATTGTTCACCGCTGAGGGTGAAAGCTGTCATACATTTTGCTCATATGTGTGTCACTTATCTACAAGATCATGTGTCAAACTCAAGGTCCGTGGGCCAAATGTGGCCTGTGGATGACTCCCAATTGGCCCGCCAAGGGGAATAAGTGACAATATTCTGCACAGAGTAAATATTGTCTCATACTGACTGAAGATTGTTTCATGTGTCAACTGGATTATATAAGTGCTTTAGAATTAGGGGACCTAAATATTTGAGGTAGTRCTTTAGAATTAGGGGACCTAAATATTTGAGGTAGTGCTTTAGAATTAGGGGACCTAAATATTTGAGTTAGTGCTTTAGGGTTAGTGCAAATAATATTTAGATTAGTGCTGCCCAACACTGGTAACTAGTTAGGAGGTAAAAGCATATTTTTGTATGTTTTGAATGTAACAAAACAAAAGTAAAAGTCACAATTATATGAAATATTTGATAAAGTTACAGATCCTCAAAAAAATGACCGAAGCTGTAACAAATTARAAATACTTTGTTTCGATAAACTTTTGGAAAAAAAACATCTGTACTCATATATACCATCTTGCCGGTGGCACTGTACAGTTTGAGCAGTTTTCATTTGAAACATAAAAGACATAAAACTGAGTGCTGGTGTGGTATATTAAAACAAATAAAATGGACACATCATTTAAATCCCCCCCACCCCCAGTATTGCATCATCATAATGCTGGTGGCTACAACTACAACACTCTAAGCTAAATCTGATGTTTATTTGTGAACAGAGAGAACATGCGGCTCTCCTTAAAGCATGCAGTCAAAATGAGTTGCATTACTGTGCTTTTGTTATTTTATTTTGAAGGCCTTATGTGCCGCAGGGTTAGAKCAACCTGTGTAAAGACTCATTTTAGTGCACAAGCGGTTTGATCTAAAGCCTCGCTCTCGTCAGCCAAGTTCAGATTCTCTGCAGCTAAAATAGATGTTGATTAAAGCGGAGGATAGTTTCCCAAACTGAAGTCTCTGAGGAGAACTGTTGAGACTGAGGTGGATATGGAGTCTCTCCGACTCTCTTACTGCGCTATTTCAGATTCAAAGTGCTCATCATTCATCTATTATTCAATCTGTTTCACTCCACTGTTACTTTTTCGGTTTTTACATCCACCATTTAGTCCCAGCCCACTTGGTGGAGCTATATATATTTTTGGAGCCTTGATGCTCCTCCGCTCACACACTCAGAGACCTTTCTGTTGCTCTGAAGCCTTTTATTGTTGTGTTGCTGATAGCAAACCTGACTGAAAACACTGTCACGTCTAATTATTTAATATGTTTTCTATTTTAGATTGAACTGTAAAACATTATTGAGAGACGGCGGTCTGATTTTTTATTTTTTTATTTTTTACAGATGGCCTGTCTTGTTCTGCAATCAAATATTGAAGAAAAAACACTCAATTTGTTATCATTATATTAAATGAACATATATTTTAAATTGCATGAGAACTTTAGAGATCTGACATTTTATTATTTGAGCTTTCTGGTCATAAAAATGGTAAAAACATAACATTTGTGAGGAACATTGGCTGAAGTGTGTTAAATCTGTTGGCCCTGAATCAATAACTGGTACAGCAAACAGAGAATCTGGAGTTTTCATTTAGATCTCAAGGACAAACATGAGACACAACTTTTATTGGTCGAGGAGGCAGCGAGCTGACAGGTTGTAAAAATCAACAATACTTTTGTTGAACGGCTGACTGAACTGAAACAAACCGGACAAGAAAAGAACCTGCTACAGGATCTAACAAAGTATGTACATTTAGGAACTTTGTTAACAAATTAACTGACAGGATATGGAATACAGCTTTGATACACGWCTGATGGTTCTGAGACGATTGTATCAGGAAAACCTTTGGACTGACGAGATATTCTGATCCGGTAGACCGATATGTTTTCATTATGCAGACTCAGCTTTGGCATTAACATGGTTTACGTTCAGCACATGTGCATTTGTATAGGAACGTGAAACGACAGTCCCAGWAACCCACATAAACACACATCAAATGAATTATTAAGTGGAAAAAAAAATACAAACTTTCTTTACAGAAAACAGAAAACATTTTTCAAATCGAAATATATTGTATTGTTTGTTTTTTTCTATTATGGTAAATTAATATATTCAATGCTTTTTAAAGCTTAAGGTCTAAGCTATGGAAAAATGAAGTTCCAAACAAAAAATAAATAAATGAATAAACATGACTTCTGCTGAGATCATTGTGCAGTCATAGACACACACTTTCCTCAAAAAGTTTTCTGTATGTAAATGATTTCCCCTTCTCTGTATAAGTGAACTCATCTCCTCTGAGCAAGTCCTGCAGTTTCACCTCAGCATGTTCAGTTCTGATCATCCACTGGTCTGAACTTCTCTACATTATTACCCTGACAGAGATGAAATCTGTCTGTCCCTCAAGCTTCAGGTTGTGATTTGAGCAGAATGCCTGCATGTTATTACACATTTTTACTTTTTATTCCCTTTTTCTTTTTACAGTTTTTCTTCTGTCGGGCACTTTATAGAGAATTGTTCTTCTTTGAGCTTTGCTGCCCTCTGCTTTACTTATGAACAGTTAATATATCTCAACACATTGATCTGAATGTCCTTTTGCTGCAGTTCTGTATTTTCTGTCTTTTTGTTATTGTAAATCTTCAACGAGACCTGCTCAGCTTGATTCAACCATTCTCATGAATAATGCTGAGGTTCTGTTGCGTATGTTGTGTTCATCTTCTTATTGTCATCAAACAGCTTCATTAATGCACTCTTTGTAAATGACAATCGGATGTTTATGTGGGGACACAGGTCTGCTCACCAGCAGCGGCCTGGTGACCGCCACACGGCTGTCGCTGCCTCTAGTAGATTCCTGCTCACACACAGCTTCGAAAGGGCATATTTAATGACCTCTCATTATCATTCCTCTCAAAGGAAATAATTTCCTACCGTCTTTACTTCACTGATTAGGCCTCCAAGGATTTCCCCAACGTTGTTTCCTCTTCCTCCTTCTTTTCCCTCTAATGCAATACAGTCCCTCAAGTTCTCATTTGTACAAARGCAACTCCATGACCCCAATCCTCCCAAAGATTTGCTTTAATTGCTCATATCCTCAAAAACACGTCCTTTTATTAAACAACAGTTTTTAACTGTTTGTTTCCTTTCTTTTCTTTGAACAGAATGATACCTGGTCAGAGCTCTACTCCTTTGCTGTTTTCAAGGCGATGAGTCACATGCTGTGCATCGGTTATGGCCGGCAGGCCCCCGAGAGTCTGTCAGATATCTGGCTGACGATGCTGAGTATGATTGTAGGAGCTACCTGCTATGCTGTGTTCATCGGCCACGCAACAGCTCTGATCCAGTCCCTGGACTCGTCCAGACGCCAGTATCAAGAGAAGGTGAGGAATTGTCTTTTCAACACTTTACAAACACTCTTTGGTACTTTTACAAATTCTTGTAGCTGTCTTTAGTTTAAAAATGAAATAAATAYAAAGATCAAACAGAAAAGTTATTCCATCAAATACTACTTAACTTGATTTTTTTGTCTTAAAGACCCTTTGCAAGTGTTTCAACCAGTCATATCATTTATTAATACCCTGAAGTTAATCACATCAGCTAACTTTACCCTACAGGATAAATCTTCTTTTTGTAAATGAAACCATCACCTTTTCCTGGACAAATTTTAAGAAATATTTGAAATTGCTCCAAATTGCTGAAAGTAATTAACTTATCTTTGCTACGTTTTGTACTTTCTCTTGTTTTGTTTGCACAAAAATTTAAGGTGCAAAAAATGACAAACTAAAAAGTTCTTRAGGACATTTTTGCTGCACTAGTTGTTTTTTTTTCCCTTTCCAACAAAACAAGTGATTGTCATGTTTTTCTGTTAATTGTTTAGTTTCTTAAGTGTTTTATTCTCTTCATGGTTTATGTTTTTTGACTGTTTTTGGGATCTTTTGAGTTCTGCTTCTTGTGTTTCTGACATCAGTCAGTTCTGACTCTGGCTCCGCCCACTTTCACCTGATCCTTATTGTCTCTCATGTTTTCACCATTTCTCCCTCATTAGTTTCCCTTTAYATCTGTTGTGTGTACCTTGTCCATGCACTTTTCCTGCCATTATTGCTGCCTTCTCTGCCATTTGTTTTTGTTGACAAGTTAGGTATTTATTTTTACCTTTAGAGGCCTTGAGTTTTGGTTCTGCAGTTTGAGTTCACTATTTCCAACAAACATGATAGTGAGTTTGCAAAAGTTGCCGCACTAATGATGGTGGCACAGCAGCAATGGTTAGAGCTGCTGCATCTCAGTTTGTAGATTCACCTCCCAGCCTTTCTGTCTGCAGTTCTCTCTGTGCACATATRGGTTTTCTCCAGGTACTCCGKTTTYYTCCCACAGACTACAAAACATACAWATTAGGTTAACTGGTWACTCTAAATTGTCTTTAGGTGAGAGTGTGAATAGTTGTTTGATTGTTGCTGTATATCTGACTACCCTTTGGAGAATCAAGATGGYTACCACAGCTAACCAAACGTAGCAAACAGAAAATAGCTAAACCTYAGTCATTAAGGAGAAATTGGCTGTTGGAGTAGCAGAGTCCACTCTGAGACCGGTTGCACAAAATGCCTCTCTTGCAAAAGAGATGGGATTGGCCTGTTTAATAAATAAATATTAAACCACACAAAACTGTCTCACTCAGGGTTTTTTATGAAGGAAATGCTTTAGTTAATTTTCTTTTATAAGTTTGCAAATTCAAACATGCTTTAGTTTTTGWTTTTGCTACTTAAAACCCAGGACCRGTRTAATGCTTCASYTTTCATAGTCCAGTTACCATAAACTCTTCCTCACCTTAAACACCAACACTTTACTAAATGTAAGGCACTACATTGTAACAAGCACTGTTGATTTAATTCAAATCAACTCTGTAATTTCTAATTATTTACTGGTCACTTGCTGAATGCAAATAATTCATCACTTTAAATGAAAAATTTGATTTYTAACAGGTGATATAGTTAGACTTTGTATTACTTTTTTAAAGCTGTTGCTTCTTAGTAAGTGTTTTATTCMGTTTTTTAACTCTGTTTTAGTTTGAATATGATGGAAAATATTTTTACAAAGAAATAAGTTGTTTAACCTTTGCCCCTAACAACCCACTCTCTCTCTCTATTTTTTTGGTCATGAGTTTATATTCTTTACGTCTTTTTTGTGTGTGTCTGCTGACGGGCACTGCAGCATCGGCCTGTGGCGTTAGCGGCTCGGCTGCTCTGTTTCCAAGCAGAGTCTCGCTGGCTGYAAGCAGAGGGGATGCTGCTGGCTGTCGACAGCCAATCAGAGGCTGCGGGTGTGTTTGGCCAGGTAGAGCCACGTTGGCAGGGGCTGGGCGTGAGCGTGCGTGTGCCTGCGCGTGTGCGCGCACGCGTTATGATTTCCCCTTGGGCAGCAGTGGAATTGATGAGGCAGCAGACCAGCATGTCCTGCCAATGTCATCCTGAAGGTGACGTAAGCAACCATGGCTGCCTTCCTCTCTGCCTCTTCCCGATAACTCACGCTCGTGGTATCACTCCATCTGCACTCTCTATTATGTTCTCCATATCTTTAACTATCCTTCTTTCAATATGATGCCCCCCCTCCCTTCACTGCTCTAATATCTCCATTATTTTTTGCTTTATCTCATTCTTTATCTCACACGTTAGTCTCCTCTTGATCTAATTTATTCTCAGGTTCTGTCTCTTTTTGCCTCCCTCTCTATCCTTTCTGGTTCTGGTGTCCTTGAAAGGTGCGGAGCTACGGCTGCCCGGCTGCTACGGGGAGTAAAAGCGACGGGGAGGGGAAACCTGTGGGAGACAGAGTCCTGGATGTTTGAGGGCGGTGTATTTCACATCAGAGTTTTGGAGTGTTTTTGTCCGGCTATCATTAGGTGGAACTCCAGGATTATAAATCATACTCAATAAATGGTTTAGAGGACAACAATTCAGCACGCAGAGTACCGACTAGTGCTCTTATTTTTAACATTTGTGTCAGATGATGGCAGTCAAAAGGGTACAGAAGAAGTCTCTCGTGTTTTCGCCCAGTGTGGTTATTGCTTAAATGGGCAAGCCACCCAGGAGAATGACAATTACCCAAACTGCTATTTATTACSCTGTGGCTGAGGCTTGACCGTTTAACCCTCACATTAAAATCTGTGGGATTGAGAAAATGAAGCCTGAATTATTTAGGCACTATGAAGCATTTTAAAAGCTAAACAGCCTATTATTTGTTCAGTTTGAAGATAAACTGAGCAAAAAAAAGTGACATCAGAAATGTGCTCATAAAGCCATGAAGTTTGTGTTTAGTCTCAGGAATTAGGCCAATTTCTTAGTACAAGTTCATCCTGTTTCTGTCATTTTTCTGCTTAAGTGAACTTTTCCCGGATCGCTTTCTCTGACCACTTTTCAGATTTTCATTTTTCTGAGGATTAGGATTTCAGCTGAGGATGTGTGTATTATTGAAAAAATAAATAAAAAAGGAGAAAGTACATGCAGCAGAATGGAGTCAGCGATGCCACTGAGGGTGGTGCTGATGCTGCCGGGTGGATTTGCCGCGCCGGCAGACAGGACTAAAAATGACATTATAATAATTTTGACGGTGTTTGCAAAATAAGACCACTGGCAGCGTGTTACAGACTCAAACTGGGTGTTTTCATTTAAATGCAGAGGGAATGTCAGGTTACATGTATGAAGAATTTGGATTTTGTGGATTTGGTGCAGAATCACATGAGTTCTTTACACCTAAGACTGGTTTAATAACTAACTTCAAACTGAGAATTTGAAATTTGGATATAGTTCAGTGAGACAAGTAAAATAACGAGTGTGGGTATTAGAACTCAAAAAATGCTGACTCGTGGATAAGAGTTTTAATAAGCTAAACAGAAGCTGACTGTGCAGCAAAAAAAGTTGTAACAGAGACTAAACCCATCAGAGATCACAAAGACTGAAATTGAACAGGGAGTATAAAAAAAGGCTAAAGGTAAGAAACTGCACATTATTTAAATAAAAGAAAACTTCAGAGAAGAGTTKTCAAAGACCCAGTTAGATATTTACCAGAAGCTTCAATTAGCTACTACAAAGTAAATCAAACATGAATTGTGTTTGTGTTTTTTTAATTATTATTCCATGCTGAATTTAGACAATCAGCATGTGCAAGAAATGCTTCTTTTTTCTGTTATTACCATTCTTTTTTTGCAGTTTTGACTCATGTCACAGACTACACTTTACTTTTTTATAAACACACTAAAAGTACACGTCTGTGGTGGAACAGGCAGTTCAAACTTCAGCAAACATCRTAGTAAAAAAATAATCCAAATTAGCACAACAAATAACCCTAAAACTCGCACAGAAAGTCTAATACCAGCAGGGGTAAATGATAATATGGATAATTTGTAAATGCTTTGCATCATTTACCCGTTCCTGCTTCATTAAGGCACTAATTAAATGTAGCTTCCAGAGTGTGATCAGTTACATGGTAAAACTGCAGCATCAGTTCAGTACAAGTTCAGTTTGCTGTTTGATAAATGTTTTTTTGGAATATTTCTGAAGTCTTTTGTGTAAATAACTGCCAGCCTTATTTATGCCATTTAGTGTCTCAATACTATTATTTTTTATTTTTCAAGGATGCACCAAAGGCTATGTAGAGAAAAACAAAACTTCATGTACATTTAATCAAACTTTTTTGACAATATACATAAAACAGTTCACATTTAGAAAATGAGAAATTACTGCTGATTTGTATTTAAACATAAGGAAAAGTAATTTTTGAGTTTTGGGCTTTTTGTCCATATGTTTTGTTGTAATTTTTATTTGAAGAAAGAAAATGCAAAGTCAATTCATCATACAGCGCCTCAGGTACAACTGTAACCATCTCCCAAGTGCTTCACATCTAATGCTGAGTCAGCGCTTCTCTGTTTATGTTACTGACCAACGTCCCGACCAGATGTTAGACAGAGCCGGAGCCCAGTCAGCAACACGATGAACAGACGGTAGTTTGAGCTCCCTGTGATAATCCTGCACAACAAGCTTTGTTCTGCTGCCACCATCAATAACAGCCTCTTCTTCCTTTTTTCTGTTTGAAAAGCACTCATTGATCACTTCAGTTACTCATAAACCAACTGATGTTACAAAGGCAGTGGCTGACGTTTAAAACAAAAAACGGTTTCTCTTTTTTTTCTTGTGTCGAATACTATTTTTCTTTCTCCATGAACAAAACTTTATCATCCGGCCTCTTCTGCTTGTCGCTGCGTTTTGAATGAGCTCCAGGATTTCCTGGATTTTCCTAAGAAGCTTCATTTCATTTAATGAGACTTTGTACTGCGCGAGTCCTCTCAGTGCGCCGTCACACATCTCCGAATTACAGACAGACAAGACAAGCTCTGACTTCCCGCTATCTGATTTTTCTTTCTTTATGTGAATGTGCTTCTTACTGTAATGAGTTGAGCTGGGAGAGAATGAAGTGAAGAGATCCTGCTTCCAAGTAGTGATTTGAGTTGAACCTGAATTAGAAATTTGGGAAGTAAATGAGAGTATACAGTATATGTTATTTTATTAAACTCAAATGTTTGGTCAAATTATCTTTAAATGCCTGGAATGTGCATATGTTTGAGTAGATCTTTTATAAAATTTTCTGGGGGAAAATTCTGGGGAGACCCCCTAGAAACTGCTTCACTCCATCGTTGAATTCAACACAAACAGGTGTTCCTCATTGCTGTCAGCAGATGTTGGCAAGTATGACAAAGTATGGCAAATATTGCTAACTATTTTATTTAAATAACCTGGTTTCTAATAATAATAATAA